TATCTAAGCAGGAGTTTGTCAACCATTTAAAGCCCAAACCTTGCATTTTGGTATCCTTCCTGTTTGCGATTTTTTACCAGCCTGGGTGGGAATGCAAGTTTTTCACTGTTATTTACTCAGTTGTTGCAGTCACTGCTGCTGTTTCTGAGCCCTGGTAGTCACAGGCACAAGCTGACAAACTGATCCTGAGATGTGTCCCCAAAGGCTGACAGAAAGGCAACCCCAACCTGGCTGACAGCAGCAGCTAGAAAACATAAAATGGAAAGAAATCTGCCTGGAAAATGAAAAAAGGAGGTGTAGCAGGCAGGAAAGGGGGTTAAGGTGCTGAATTACAAAGAGATTGTATGTCTTCTATTGTATGCTACAAAAATGTTATTTTGCTTTTACATAATTCATTAATTATTTTGAAGTTATGTTTGGGAAGGAAAAATTAACCCAAGTTATTACAAGCAATGGTCCTGGTACACAGGGTTTGGGCTTGATATAAGTTGTGCATAGAATCCCAGAATATTCTGAGCTGGAAAGGACCCTCAAGGATCATTGAGTATAACTATTGGCCCTCACAGGACAACCCAAAAATCCCATAATGTGCCTGAGAGCTTTGTCCAAATGCTTCTGAGCTCCATCTGGCTTGGGGCTCTGATCTGGAGAGCCTGTTCCACTGCCCAAATTCCCTCTGGGTAAAAACATTTCCCTAGCAAATAAAATTTCCTGTGTGCATGACACATTCCAAATGGATGTCAGAGCTGGAAAGCACTTGCAGGTTTCTATCCACTGAATTTTCAGGTCAGATCCTTTCCCATCTCCTTCTGTTCTTTTGATACCCCAGGAAGAATAACTGGGGTTTCTTAGGGATTCCCACTGGTGGTGATTTCCCACCCACAGGAGGTTGCTGTCCATATTTTGCAGATTTGGCTCCCTACTGGGTTAATGCTATCTGCTGTGCTGGATTGAACATGTGAAATGTTGCTAGAGTGGGTTTCCTATGGGTGTGTGATGTGAGGGCACATCCTGCAACAGTTTGGGGGATGATTTTACGTGTCCAGTTCAGGTTATAATTGTTTATTTAACTCACTACATTGTAAAACATACAGCCAGCAGAGACTCGTGTCCCAGTTTATCTCCTGATCGTCACAAACCCTGCAGGATTGCAGCATCTTTGTTGTCTTGCTTCTCCTGTTAAACCTCATTGAAATTGGCCACGTTCAAATGTGAGCTGTGACAGTGACACAGATGGCTGCAGAGATGTTGTGGTCCCATAAGCTCTGTTTCCTCCAAATCCTCTTTCCAGCTCTGGTACCACTGAAGCCAGAGCGTGGAGCTGCCACCCCACTGCAGCAGCTGCTGCCAGCCAGCTTCAGCTTCACAGCTCAGGGTTTGTTTTATGCCAGCTCCTCTTTCTCCCATCCTGATTTTCCAGCTCCCTGCCATTTTTCCTGAAGCTGGAAAACGCACAGGAGGAAAATGCCCAGCACCAGTGGCTGACAGACAGCTTTCCTTGGCTCTGCAGGTTCCTTCTGCTTCATCCAACAAGCTCATGTGGGGTGGGCACTCAGCCACAACCCTGGCACCTGCAGCTGCTGCTGCTCTTCAGGCTGACTGAGAAGTATTTCAATTAAACACCAGAGGTCAAATGCAGGGTGCCAGGCAGGGGAAAAAAATAGAAAAATAAAGAGTTTTGCTTGTCTGAAAAAATAAAAATATTGAGAAGGATGTTGTGACTCTGTCACCAGCCCTGCTTATAGAGAGATGTACAATTAATTTGTGTATTAGTTGGTGTTATTTTACCATGGGCTGCTTGAGTGGAACTGGATATAAACATCACCAACCTTTTGTAAAGGATCTTAAGAATTCTGTTGCAGCTGGAGATTTCACTGTGCTTTTCTCCCAGAAGTCAGGGAGGATAATCACATGGGATTCACAAAGTTGAGAAAAACTGTGCTGGTGGTTCAGGGCAGGTGTCTGTTTCACTAAACTTGCATTAGACCACACCCTCTTCTCTCACAGATCTTAAGGAGGTGCTCTTTCATCTTAGGGAAGGGTGCAGGACTGCAAGAGAAGAGTCACCAAACAAAATTGTTTGATGTCTTTACTCAGTCCCTACAGAGCTGCCTTCCCTCTGACCCCTCTCTGTGCTCTGGTAATTTAAAGTGTGTTCCTTGAACAACTCCCCTTTTCTCCTCCTAAAACAGATTCTTTGAATTTATTCTCTCTGTGGTAATGCAAGGATAGTACAAGTGATTATAAAGAGCTCTTGGTCTTGTTTTATTTAGCTGATGTTCATCAGTTTAATTTTATTTATAAAAACTAAAAAGTGATTTTACAATATTTTACAAATTGATTTTACAAGTCAGAAATTACTTGAAAGACACGCAGGCAGGTGGTACACATGACAGTGGACTAAGCCAGGCATTTTCTCACTGGAAACTTAGGTATGGACTGGGTGGAAAAATAGAGAATTGTATGAACTTGATTAACTCATTTTCTCCCCCTGTGAGGGTGGGGAGGCTCTGGCACAGGTTGCCCAGAGCAGTTGTGGTTGTCCCATCCCTGGAAGACTTGTCCAAGGCCAGATTAGATGGGGTTTGGAGCAATTTGGGATAGTGGAAAGTGTCCCTGCCCATGGCAGGGGGGTGGAACGAGGTGATTCTTCAAGTCCCTTCCAACCCAAACCATTCTGTGATTCCACTCTCATGTATGAACACTGAGATTTTTGTGCCAGATGGTGTTGGGACATCTGAACAGATACTGAGTCCTCTAAGAGGTGACAGCAGAAACCAATCAAGCCCAAACACTGATTTTAGGTAGAGAGAAGCTTAAATTACTTGAATGAAGAAGTAGAGTGTTTTCTAGTTAGAAATCCCTAGCTGCCATCTTAAAAAAAAAAAAAATCAAGTCAAATTCAGAAGAAGAATTCATTCTCAACTCTTGCAGAGCTCCTATCAACAGCTGACTAAGTGCTAGCAAGTGGTGCTAGCGAGAAGGTCTGGTGCACTCCTTGCAGCCTTCCTTGCCCATGAGTTAGTTGGAAGATTCTGAGTGATTTCAGAGGATCAAAGTGACTTAAAGGCATTCATCAAACCTTCTAAACCAAATGTTCCTGTGGGTCCCACCATTTCCCATCTGCCCCCTCCAGTGTCCTGCTGGTGGCATTGGCAGCATTTGTGCCAGACAGGGATTTATGGAATTTGTAATTTTATGCTACAATTTTATGCTGTCCCCTCCTCTGAGATAAAAAACAAGTTTAATTAGCTATTTTTCAGTGGGTCTGTTGTATATTTTATGCCATCTGCTTCATAGCATTGTCAATGAAGAGTAATTCACAGCCTCTCTCGAAAGATAATGGGTAAAGGTGTCTATCCTTTGGAAGTTTGTCCTAAATCTCTGAACTATATAAACTAATGAAAATTTAACTTGTCCTACTACACTTAGGAACTATGCAATAATTTTACTTTGGTAATGATGAAGAGGTTCACTCCCTCTGACACCAGAGTTTGAACTCCCAAAAATTTTTTACTGCCTTTTGTGTTAATGCAGTCCCAGGCTTCACTCTGAACTGAATCAAGTTAATTCCCTTTACAGAGAAATCATAAAATGGATTGTAGAAAATCCCAGCATCCAGCCAGGGTGGATACCAGCCGGTTGTGTCATTTAGCCTGGGAACCATCACTCATTCCCTGGTGTAAATGATTAGAATGGTTTGGGTTAAAAAGACCTTAAAGCTCATCTGAAGGTCCATGGGCAGGGACACCTTCCAATGGACCAGGTTGCTCAGGGACAACACTATGGGAAATATTCTACAAAACATCAGGCACATGAAACTAAACCTGAAAACAACACAGCAAGAGAGAATAATGATCATAACATCCCCATTATTGATTCACCCCAACTGCAGCTCCCAAGCAAAAGCTTTAATGCACTCGATGTGCTCCATTTGAAAATGGAGTAACTCTGTTTTGCTTTTGTCTTGAGGTTATTCTTTCCACTGCTGTTTTGGATTAGCACAGACCAGTGAGGACCACAAATATTTCTATGTCTGGTTTCCCCCCACCACTGCCTCAGATGAGTTGAGGATGTTCTTGCTGGTTCACATATGAGACCAAATAATATGTTTTGGATGTCCATGTTCACACTTGTGCACATGTGTCCAGGCAAAAATATTCACACCTTCTTCAAGAAATGCACCATCAGGGCCCTAAACAACCTGGTCTAGTGGGAGGTGTCACTGCCCATGGCAGGGGGACTGGAAGGAAATAACCTTTCAGGTCTTTCCAACCCAAAAAATTCTGTGCTTCTATAAAACCTTTACTGCAAAGTACATGCTTGAAGTTTGGAGGTGCGGAGGAACCTTTAAACTTAGGAATCATTTAATGATTGCATATCATGAGTCAGTCTATTAGGAGTTTTCAAGTTATTCAGGGCTTTATTTGGAATTGCTGTGCTCACCCTCAAAGCAGAGACAATAACACTGGATAAGCTGAGAAAGCTAAAAAGGTATTTTGAGAGGAGGAATGTCTGTCTAAATGAGGATGAGCAGCAGGAGAGCCTTTACAAAAAAAAAAAAAAAAACAAAAAAACCTCTAAAGCAAAATAGTGCCCATCCAGCAGGATGTTTTAATTCTAAGCTCTTCTTGCTATTTTATGACATTGTCTGGAAACAACAGTGCAGTTCTGCTTCTCAGGAGGCAGAGAGAGACACACACCAGGAAACCTGTGGTCGGTCCTGGAGCAAATCCCTCGACCCCCAGAACCAGAACGAGACAAGGGGACACCCCCCAAATTGTGACAGGCATTCCTGAAGGGCCGAGCACCTCTCCAGTGCCAATATCCATCTATTCCTTTGCCTTACACAGGGTCCCTCTGGAAGTCACCGTGCCCAGAGCAGGGCAGCGGAGATGCCAATGCCGCGTGGACGCATCTCGATGCTCTCTGAGCAAACTGGCTTCTGGAAGGACGGGAAGGGGCGAGCTTTGAACTCCTCTGGATCTTTCTCTTTCCAGCTTGGCCTCCAGCTGTGCGGCCGGTGGGACGAGGACTCCAGCTGGCCGGGTGGCCGCCAGCCGCGAGATGGCGACAATGTCACGATAGAAGGCGGCCGGACGCTGCTCCTGGGGACCACCACCAGCATCCTCAACCTGCTGCAGCTCAGAGGTCTGCGGGAGGGGCTCCGCTGCTCTCCCTCCTCCAGGGATGGGTTTGTCACGGCCCTGGTGTCTCCTTGCATTGCCCAGCTCCAGCAGCAGAGGAGATGACCGTGAGGCTGAGCCTGCCCTCGGTAGTGCAAGGGGGCAGTGATGGGGGACAGGGCAAGAATTTAAACATTCTGTGTGCGTGTTTATGCTGCTTGGATGTTTACACTGCTTGAGGCATGATGACAATATAAGCAAAAAGGCTTTTCATCCCCTTTTTTCTTTCCCCAGTCTACCAAAATTGCTGCTGTCCTGAGCAGTGCTCAGTGATAATGGCACTGCTGATAACAAAAATCTACTCTGTTCTCTTTGGCATCTTTGAGGCAGATGTGTCACAAGCACCTTTACAAAATTATTGGCATTATAGAATTGTGGGTCACAACTATCAAATGCAATAAATAATCCCAAATCCTAGAGCCCAGCTGGTGGGCAGTAAGTAAATAACTGAGCACAGTTATGGTGGGAAACCCTGGATTTGCTGGGTTTATGTACCCGTACATAGACCCAGAATAAGAATGAGACAGACATATCTCAGAGGGTATAAAATTAAGAATTTAAAGGACTTGTAATTACATGCCAGAAATCTTTCCCCTGGAAGTTAGATACTGGTTGTGGAAACTGCTGTACACATGCCTGGTATTATAGGAATGATATATGCTGGTGAAATTGCTTGTTCAAAGTTAAGCCTCTGCTGAAATAGAGCTCAAATAATGAAAGCAGGATTTTTATTTTTTTTTTTAATTTTTTTTTAATTTTTTTTTTTTTTTTTTTTTTTTTTTTATGTTTAAAGACCAGGATCCTTGCTGGTAAAATTGCTTTTATTCTAAAATGATACTAAAGGTACTAGATTTTCATTGAGATGATGCTGAAAGTCATGCATTTGACAATTCTATTTTATTTTAAATTTGAATGATAATTTGATAAAGGAAAAAGTTTGAAAGTTTATACATATCATGAGAACATTTTCATAACTGATTGAACTTTCTCAGTCTAGACTTAAATGTTTTCAACATCAGGCATCACTCCCATCTAAAAGCAAAATTAAAAATCAACTGAGATTTTAAAAACAAAAAAAAGGTGAAACACTTTGGTACAATCCTTTTTCCCAGTGAAAATCCTAAATCTGTGATTCAAGATTATTCTTAACCTCATTATGATTATGCCATACTTTAGAGGAGACAGGTCAGAACACTAGATTTCTTTGGGCTCCAGATCTGGACGAAGATTTTGGGGCTCAGTCACTGACTTTGTGAAGAATTGGGGAGAAATATTGGAGCAGAAACCCTCTGAGCTTTGGACCTATTCAAAGGCTCATTTGATCTATGAGTCAGCCCTCATGAAGCTGCTGGAGCTCTGATTGAATTTAATGAAGTCTGGAGTAGTATCTTTATGGCTTTGGCTCATCTGACATTCAAATCATTCCTCTTCTTTATCGTGTTTTCCAAGAACCCTGGTTTATAAAGTCAATTCAGTTAGAAAAGCAGCATTAGAATATTCTAGATGTGATTATTTTCTCCACTGTTACATGCCAAACAGAGGGATAAAGCATTTTAGAATTATAACCTGCAGGAATTTTTTGTCTGAGCTTTGTGAAGTTGCCTGTTGCATCCACTGCCCCTACCATGGGTTTTCTGGCTGTGTAGACTTGGTTAGATTTGGAATCAAGACATGATGAGAACTACTCTGAAATGAGGCTGAGATTTATCTTTCCTTACCTTCCCCTTTTTTAAACTGTCCAGCTCAGGGGAGTTGTTTAGGCTCCTCTATTGATAGAAACACACATCAACAAAGACCTGTTCATCTTAGGAATTATAGACACCCATCTCAAACTGAACCACAGGTGATCCCTCAGAGCAACAACTACCAACCCCATGAGCACATCAAATAATCAACCACTTTCCCCAGGTGCAAGATGGGCATGGCAGTAAACCTCTAACCCCTAAGGTAGGTGTCAATATGTGCTTCGATTAAAACATCCCATTCCTATTTTACCTGGAGAGTTTTTAGCTGGAGCTGGAGAAAGGGATTAAATTGTAACTCTGCTCCCTTTGGCTTTCATGACTCAGCATCAGGCTGGCTGTGCACTCTTAAGCTGAAAATACAAGGTTTTGTGGATGGAGAAATGATGCAATATTTTACTGCTGCTACACTGCCCATTTTCTGGTGCTGTATCCAGCAAACCCAACACATGTTTACAGGCTCATTTCTTGAAAATTTCCCCTTTTTTAAGACACCATGAGGATTTTGAATACTGGCCCTGTGTTGTCCCCTTTTGATGATTTCAACATTGCAGAAATGATTTAAAGAGTATTAGCACAAGAACATCAACTCCACGTGCAGCCCTAAACTGACCCTTCTTTGGCCATATTATCATATAGCCCCAAACATGTAGAGGTTCTGGGAATGACCAGACTGTCTGGGCAGAAGATCTGGGGGTCAAAACAATAGAAAAATAGGATTAGGCAGCTGGGTTCTGCCCTCTGCCACGAGGGCTCAGCAGTTTCTCCCTCCTCAACAAGCAGAGCATGGGTATTGAGAGTGGAAAGTTTAATAGTCAGGCTGTGAAACAGCTCAGACAAGACTGATTGGGGAAGAGATACAAGATAGAAAGACTGCAGATAATTCTGTATGTTCAGCAGATTGCAGTTATTTTTGTAATCCCAGCATCACAAGCATGGAAATATTTATGATAACCTGGGACAGATGGAAATTTCCTTTGCACAGGGCTTACACTGGAGGAACTTTGCATTTGATGGGTTGATACCTCAGACATGTTGCCTTTGTCTGAAATTGTAGTGGTCTAGGGAGGTCTGGAAAAAAAAAAAAAAAAAAAAAAAAAAAGAAGCTGTCTTTTCTTTCAGAAGTCCCTTGGAGATGAATTTTGGGGTGACACTCCCAGTTACACCCCAGTGGGATTGATGACCCCAACCTGGGCAGTTGATCTTGCAAAGGAAATTTTGCAGACATAAGGGAGAAGATTGCTTTGATCCTTGTACTGTAAAAGACTCATTTTCACTTAAAGAATCATTTAGGTTGGAAAAGACCTGCAAGATCAGAGTCCAACCTTTGACCAAATACCACCATGTCAATAGACCAGAGCACTGAGTGCTGTGTGCAGTTTTTCTTTGATTCTCTGATTTTGTGAATATTTTGAATTTCTTGTAATCCACACTTTGATCAGACCTTGGCCAGAATAGATCCTGTGAGTAAATCCGGGAGTAGGGAAAACAAAGATATTGATTTTGCTTGTCTTTTCCTTCTCTTTGATGCTATTAGCAACAAGCATCAAATATTCACTGATACACTGTCTTCAGTAGTTGTCAAATAAACTGTGCTTCAGTCACTGCTAAGAAAGATTGGGTTTTAATTCACTGAAAGAAGGAAAAAGTGTTTCCTCTGTTTTCTTCTCTATGACATCAACTAGTCCTTAAACTCATTTCTAAATCCCTTGTCAGTAGGCATAGTTGAAACCTGTTCCTGTCATGGTGTTTTCTGTACCCTTTTGATCAATCCATTTGGGGTAAGCATTGTGATCCTTTTTTTTTTTTTTTTTTTGGGGGGAGTTTCCAGTTCATATTTTTTTTTTTTAATCAGGCAGAGACATTACAATTAAAATACCATAAAAGTGATTCTGGCAGTATTGCAATAAGCATGTTTTTTAATTAAAGAAAGAACATGGGATGTACAAATAGTACCAGCTAATGGGAAATTTCATCCAATGTATTTTTTAATTGAGATTTAAAAGGAAGAAAAGTCAGCTCTATTTCTTTCTGTCACTGTGTGATATTTTCCTACATTGTTACGGTGAGCCTTCAATAATTAGTCTCAGAGCTTTAGAATCCTCTCTGTTTTTATGAAAAACTGTAAAAGGCATCAGTTCTTTATTTTTCAGTATATTTTTCTGCAGGGATTCAGTGTTATCCAGTAGAGTGCAACTCACAGATGTGGGCATTCCTGGAGGAAGGGTTTTAAGGCCCTGAATCTGTAGCAGTTTAAGGTGTGGGTCTTTTCAGATCCTCCCCCAGCTGCAACCCTGGTTCATGTCTGGGTGTGGACTGCAGGTTTCCTTTGCCATCATGCTTCATACGGGCTTACAGGATGTACATTGGCCTCCCAGGACTCCCACCTGCCAATTAAATTGATTTGCTGCAACTTCAGCAGCTCTTGAGACTCCTGTGGGATGTTTCACAGTGAGCAGATCTGTGGAAGCTAATCCTGGCCAAGGAACTGAGCACAGCTTTGGCAGAGACTGAGCAGAAACCCCGGGCAGCACCATCTCTTTCCTCTAATCACTGTCATGGAAATACGGAATCACAGAATCACAGAATGGTTTGGGGTGGAATGGACCCTAAATTTCATCCCATCCCACCCCCTGCCATGGGCAGGGACACCTTCCACTAGACCAGATTGCTCCAAGCCCTGTCCAACCTGGCCTTGGACACTTCCAGGAATCCAGGGGCAGCCACAGCTTCTCTGGACACCCTGTGCCAGGGCCTCACCACCCTCACAGGGAAGAATTTCCAAATGTGCACCTAATGACTGTCTGTCAGCTGGGGACTTGAAATGACAGCCCAGGGACCTTTGTTTTCATCACGCCTCTGTGGGTGGTGTTTACCTGATGCCTTCACAAGGCTCACTTGGAAGCTCCTCAATTAGATCCCAGATGATGTCAGATGTGCTAGAACACACCCTGGAGTGTCTGCACCTCTTCCCTACCAAGTAATCTCTCCTCTTCCAAGCCCATCCAGGTGTTGTTAAGTATCTCAGAGGCCCCTTAAGAGCTGAAGAAATAGAAAGATTTCTTTGAAGGAGATACATCTATGGCAGCATCTTCTGGGATGCTGATTGGAATTGCCTTTTACTTGTCTCCTGAGCTCTAAGGGAAGAGCCTGATGAGTTTCTGAGGGAGCACGTGCCATCTGAACAGATGGCTGTGAGCACAGCAAGCCAAAAAACAAAGGC